ACATATACGAGAGACCTAAACTTAGTTGGTTTCATATGAATAACTTTAGCTTACAGAAAATAAGACAGTTAAATAATTCATAGAAAGCATATCCCCCAATAAAATCCTTTCTACATATAACAGTTTAAACAAAATTATACTCCTAAATGGTTTTGACTTTTGACATTTTAGCAGACACTTCATAAAGATATATTATCACACTATTGCAAAAAAAAAAAAATCATTATAAAGATAGAAGTGAGAAAAATATCTTTAGATTCAAAGTCGGGTAAGAATAAACTATAAAACTGAAGCCTCTAGCTAAATCTCCTGAAATATAAAGCATCCACAAAAACACAAAGAACAGAAAATAGCCAACAAAGAACAGAAAAGCGATACATATATAAAAAAAACTCCAGCTAATCATTTAACACTATATTCAGAATATTTTCCATATTTTTTAAACTGACTTCAGAGAGAGAAAGGGAGAGGGAGAGATACAAACATCAACGATGAGAATTATTGATCAGATGTGTCCTGTATGCCCCTCCTACTGGGGATCAAGCCCGCAACCTGGGCATGTGTCCTGACGGAATTGAACCACGATCTCCTGGTTCATAGGTAAATGCTCAACAACTGACCCACACCGGGGTCAGAATATTTTTTAATAACTAAAAAGAGGCAGAGAGCTCTGAAAAGACTGTCATAAAGAAACTGAACATTAAGATTGATGAATCTATCCTATACGATAAAGAGCTAATATGCTAATTAGACTGAATAGCAGGACAACCTTCCGATGAAGCCAGGGCTGCAAGGGCCAGCAGGGGCTACGAGGGGCTAAAAGGGGCTAGGAGGGCCGAGCCACTTGCACGTATTTCCTGCATTGGGCCTCTATTATTGATATAAATAAGTGCATAAATAAAAAATGGAGGAGAAGAAACAAATCTCTGGTACAGAATTCCAAATAATTTATGCAGATACTTCACACTCAAGAAAGTGCAGCAAACTTCCTACTCAGTAACTTCCTTCCAAAGAGTACAGCATGGAAAAGAAGTGACAAAAATCATGTCGATAATATGTAACTTTCATATAATGAGATGAAAATGGTACTTTATCTCTGTGGTCTTCCTCTCCCAAACATATTACCCAGTCTAACCATGAAATATCAGACAGATCCCAACTGAAGAACATTCTATAAAATACTTGACCCATGCTTGACCTCAAAATAGTCAAGGTCATTACAAACAAACAAAGTCTGAGAAACCATTTCAGCCAAGAGGATCCTAAGGAGACATGACTACTAAATGTAATGTGGTTTCCTACATGGGATTATGGAACAGAAAAAGGTAGCCAAGGAAATATGAATAAAGTATGATCTTTAGTTGAATAATAATATCAATACTGGCTAATTCTAACAAATGAACTACTACACTAATATTAGATGTTAATAATAGAGGAAACTGCAGAGTACAAGTAAACTCCCTGTACCTATGTGCCCAATTTTTCTGCAAATCTAAAACTTACCTGAAATAAAAAGTTTATTTACAAATTGACATAGAATTGACATGGTAGCAATGAAATAGAAATGCTTTAACAAAAAATACTTTTTTTTTTCTTTTTCTTTTTTATATATTTTATTGATTTTTTACAGAGAGGAAGGGAGAGAGCGAGCTAGAAACGTCGATGAGAGAGAAACATCGACCAGCTGCATCCTGCACACCCCCTACCGTGGATGTGCCTGCAACCAATGTACATGCCCTTGGCCGGAATCAAACCTGGGACCTTTCAGTCCGCAGACTGACGCTCTACCAGAGCCAAACCGGTTTCAGCACAAAAAATACTTTTAACATTTAAAAAATATCGTATACAGGTTGATAAACTAAAACATAAATCTCAATTTGTATGTAGTAAAAAAAAAAATTAAGAAACAGAAAAATATAGTACTGTGAAAAACAACTTTAAGAGCCTTATGTTATAAACTGATGAACAAAATATATCCAAAGACCTAGAACCATGAACAAACTGATGAATTTCAGAGGGAAGGTAGGGGTTGGGGGTGTGTGTGGAGGGGGGCATTTACCAGGGAACTTATATGCATACTAGAGGTCTGCTGCATGAATTCATGCACGGATGGGGTCCCTCGGCCTGGCCAGGAAAATCAAGGGTATCTTGCCCAGTCCAGATTGAGGCCAGCGCAGGGGAGGAACCGCAGGACGTTGGCTGGACACAAGAGGTTGACTGTGGGAATGCACTGACCACCATGTGGCAGCTCCTATGTTGAGCGTCTACCCCCTGATGGTCAGTATTCATAATAGCTAATGGCCAGTCATTTGTTCATAATAGTTGCTTAGGCTTTTATATATATAGATATGCATAGCCCACAGTCACAGACAATAGTGTGGCAAAGGCTTGGGAGAGGCAGGTGCAGGGAGGATGGAGGTCATGGGGAAAACAAGAACAAAGACCAAAGCAGACATTTGTAATAATTAAAATAATAAAGATTAAAAAAATATTAATTTACATTTTTTAATTAAATTATTATCTGTGTACATATTTTAACATTGCCCCCCCCATACATACTCTCCCTCCCAAGAGTTTTGTGTCCATTGGTTGTATTTATATGCATGCATACAACTCCTTCGGTTGATCTATTATCTCCCCCAGATCTCCCTACCCTCCCCGCTGTAATTCGACAGTCTGCTTGTTGTAAAAATAAATTTTTTAAAAATTAAAAAAAACACCTTTATTTTAGCAACTACAATAAAAACATTTCCTCTGGCCCTGACCGGTTTGGCTCAGTGGATAAAGCATCAGCCTATGAACTGAAGGCTCCCAGGTTCGATTCCGGTCAAGGGCATGTATGTACCTTGATTACAAGGCACATCTCTGGTGGGGATTGTGCAGGAGGCAGCTGCTCAATGTTTCTCTATCATTAATATTTCTGGCTCCCTATCCCTCTCCCTTCTTCTCTGTAAAAAAAAAAAATCAATAAAATATATATTACAAAAAAAAAAACATTTCCTCTGGCTTAATTTACATTTTTTCCACAATTTCAAAGCAACCTCCAAAAGCTTTGCAAGATTATCAAGCTTTTTTCAGCTCAAAAATATTTTTAAATGTTCATTTTCTAAATTAAACTTTTCAGCTAGTAGAAAAGCAAGTGCACGAAATTTGTACAAGAGTAGGCCTTCCTTCCCCTGGCTGCCAGTACTTTCCCTCAGGCACCCAGGACCCAGATTAATTTCACTTTATTTATGTTTCCTGCTTAGTTTCCATAAGCATTTGACTTTGAAGCTCCTTTACACAAAGGAAAAAAATTAATAGATTTGACTCAAAGAGTCAATAAGAAAAGGAAAAAAACTCAAATTTTAGCCAACAAGGAAATAATAGGCAAACAAACCAAAGCAAAACACTGGCAGGGATCACTGACATATTCAACTCTAGAGCTAAGACAAAATCATATGTTGAAATTAGGTTAAAAAACACAATATAAATGTTATAATATTTATACATTATCAGACTATATAACTAACAAAAAGTGTAAGAGCAATGGAAATAAACTTTAAGGGTAAGTTAACTGATCGGAGAAAGAAAATATTATTTAGAGAAAATAGCAGAAGTGAAAGCTGACAATAAACAATAGCATATGTTATTATCAGTCAAGCCTAACATGGTATGACTGTGACTGTCCATTAAAATCCATAATACCCAGTCCACTTGCATTGTGCACTTTTTTAAAAAATATATTTTATTGACTTTTTACAGAGAGGAAGAGAGAGGGATAGAGAGTTAGAAACATCGATGAGAGAGAATCATCGATCAGCTGCCTCTTACACACCCCCTACTGGAGATGTACCCGCAACCAATGTACGTGCCCTTGACCGGAATTGAACCTGGGACCCTTCAGTCTGCAGGCCGACGCTTTATCCACTGAGCCAAACCGGCTTCGGCAAGATCTGCACATTTTAATATCACATTATCAAAACAAGTGAAGCAAAAGTTCTTCAAATATTACCATTTGATTTAGAAATAAAATGATCATTTTATATGACAACATTCTGTTTGTCTGCAGGTAATGCTTACACTCTCAAAAAATGATCTACCATATAATATAAATCAGCCAGACAGTGCTTTGAAAAGAAAATGGACTAACAATCAAAAACTCAATAAACTACTCCAAGAAGCATACCTTAAACTAAAGATATGAGAAACTAGAAATTGGGACATGGCTTATAATCTTTTATTTACATTTCAAATAGAAAAGTCAGTAGTTACTACAACAGCAGTAAGTGTAATAGATTTCACAATTTTAGAAAAAGGATTTACCGGTAGCAATATAATCAAGGCAAAGATACTCCATTACAACAAAACAGAGATACCTCCCCACCCAAAAGACCTCACAAAAAACAGAAGCAGACAAAACTTAAAAGATGAGACATAGGAAGGAAAATACTGTGTAATAAGAAAGCCAAGAGAAAACACAACTTTCCTTAAGATACATTTTTTATCACATACAATAGTTTCACAAAGATGAGACAGTGTCTACAGAATGGGGTTTCTCTTGGGATATAAAAAACCTAGAAATGTTTTTATGTTAAGTTAGGAAATCATGGAGGGAGAAAAGAGAAACATGCAAGCTAAAAGAGGCACTGAAAATAAATGAAATCAAGGATGTGGGGAAAGAAGGTAAAACAGAAAAAAGAGGAAGCAGAAACAGAAAGGGCATAAGAGGGGAAAGCAAGTGGGAGGAAAAAAGGAGAAAGAAAACACATTATTTTATTTTTTTAGAAAATGCTAGAGGCCTGGTGCACAAAATTCATGCATAGGTCAAGTCCCTAGGCCTGGCCAGTGATCAGGGCCTTCCTTCCCCTGGCTGCAGGCTGCTGGCCGGGGCCTTACTTCCTTCCATGCTGCCCCCTTGTGGTCAGCAAATATCATAGCGAGAGGTTGAACTCCAAGTCGGTCAAACTCCCAAAGGGACAATTGGCATATTAGCCTTTTATTATATAAAGAAGAATTACCTTCTTGAAGACCAGGATGTATCACTTGCTTATGCCTCAAGGCTTTCAAATCTTCTATCAATTCTTTTTCCAACTGGGAAATTCTTGCTCTACAACCTATTCAGAAAACAAATGATGAAGTAGAATAGTATGTACTACAGAAAAACATATGTACTACAGAAAAATGAACATTGCATCTTTCATTTCGAGAGCCAAACCCCAAATATATCTCTCTTTTTATGTCATTATATAATACCTGGGTCATTTGTGGTTGATGCCTGAAGACTACCGGGCTCTTCTGTTGTCCCATCAACTGCATGAATGTCTAGAGCTTCCTATATATAAAACAAAAATGTAGCTCATATCACTTCTAAAAGTTTAAAAGTAAACCAGAACATTTTTCGTTTTGATACATTTTGATATTTTTTAAATGTTCTACATTATATCACTTTAATCAGAAGAACAAAAAAAAGCAAATTATCTTAATATATTCAACTAACTGATCTAAACTATATTATACCAATTTGCATAAAGATTTCTTAAAGTTTACATAAAGATAGGCTATATAAAAATAGCTTAAGACCCAGGAGAAAGAATTCAACCACTGTATAGCCAATTTAGAACTACATATTTGGCTTCTATAAAAATCTAAACGAAAAAAATCTAGTTAAAAAGTAGGAATAAAATAAACCATTGATGAGTAAAACAGTATAATTAATAAAACCACTAATATTTGGTTCTTCAATGGCACTGCTGTTCCTGATAAAAATCAGGGGATGGTCCTGGCCAGGATAGCTCAGTTAGAGCATCGCCCCAGACACCGAAGGATCTTGGGTTCAATTACTGGTCAAGGGCACATACTTGGGTTCCAGGTTTGATCCCCGTCCTGGTTGAAACCCATGTGTGAGGCAACAATGGATATGTCTTTCTCACATTGAAGTTTCCCCCTCTCTCCCTCCCTTTCCCTCTCCCCCCATCCCTTTCCTTCTCTCTCTCTCTCTCCCTCTATCCCCCTCCCTCTCTTCTCTCTTTTCCATCCCCCTCTTTCCCTCCCCCTTCCAGTCTCTCTTAAAAAGAAATAAATGGAAAAAATATCCTCAGGTGAGGACTAACAACAACAACAAATGCAAAAAAACTATCTGGGGAGTCCAGCCAGCTTGGCTCAGTGGTTGAACTTTGACCTGTGGACCAAGAGATCAGGGCATATGCCTGGGTTGCGGCTTGATCCAGACAGAAGGGTGTGAGGAGGCAGCCAATCAATGATTCTCTCTAATCACTGATATTTCTATCTCTGTCTCCCTTCTTCTGAAATCAATAAAAAATATATATATATATTTTAAATCAGGGGATAAGGTGTCCCAAAAAAAGTTAGTAAACTTTTCATGTACTTATGTCTTTTTAAAGTCCATAATAATGAAAAATCCAGTTAAGATCTGAAGATTTTTTAAATTCCAGCTACACTGCACAAAAAGCATGAATTCATATCAAAGCAGACATAATTTTCTTAATCTTTACTGTTGAAAGCATTACAGATGTCCCATTTTCCCCCCAATTGACCTCGTCTAGCCCACACTAGCCTCCTGCCCTCAGGCCTTCACCACACTATTATCTGCGTTCTTAGGTTATGCATCTCTCTATATAATATATAAAAGCCTAAGCAACCATTGCAACTGAAACCACCAAACAAACGAATGAGCAGGCTGTGTGGGCAACCAGACTGGCAGGGGGTTAATGAGGGATGGCCAACGACTGAGCAGTGGGTTGTGTGGGGCGACCAGGCCGGCAGGGAGGTTAGTGAGGGCTCACCAAATGACTGAGCAGCTGGCTGTGTGGGGTCACCAGGCTGGCAGGGGGTTAATGAGGACTGACCAAACAACTGAGCAGAGGGCTGCATGGGGCAATCAGGCTGGCAGGGGGGCAAGTGAGGACTGACCAAACGACTGAGCAGCGGACTACATGGGGTAACCAGCCAGCGGTGGGGTAGGAGAGGCACTAAGGGGTGACCAAGCCAGCAGAGGGGGGGCAGTGAGGGGCAACCAGGCTGATGGGGTGGGGGGTGGGCAGTTGGGGGTGACCAGGCTAGCAGGGGGAGGGGGAGTGGAAGTTGGGGGTGAGCAGGCCATCAGGGGGACAGGTAGGGGTGATCAGGGAGGCAGGCAGGTAAGCAGTTAGGAGCCAGTGGTCCCAGATTGTTAGAGGGATGGTCCCGGATTGAAGAGGGTGCAGGCTGGACTGAGGGGACACCCCTCCCCCACCATGCCATGCACAAATTTTGTGCACCACTCCTCTAGTAAGCATATAAATTATTTGGGTAATCTCTTCCCACCCAAATACAACATGTGCCTTCCCTTTAACATTCAAAAGACAGACATAAATTGTTAAGTTCATTCACACAAAATATTATGATATCTATTAACTAAACCAAACATTTTGGAGACTCTTAGTTCCCTGTGCACACACCCTCCTCACATAATGGATGCATTCACAAAAACTAGATTGTAAATTGGTTATCAGCTAAATATACAACTCAATAATAATTATTTGGCTTAGAAACAATGCTGAAGTAACCATCTTACCTTTGATTCAAAGGAAACAAAGAGAACACCATCCACATCTTCCAGATCAGGCTTCACTTCTGGAAAGGTACTCCCAGGGCCCATAGGAATGCTCTTTGTAGAAGTTAAAGATTTTCCTGTGTTTTTAGGTGGTCGTCCTGCCTTAGAAAGTTTCAATTTTCGTGGCCTTCCTCTTTTACCACTGACATTTGTAGGAGCATTCTGATTAGTATTCACGGTTTTGGAAGCTGCGGAAATCTTAAGCATAGTTGTTTTCTTTCTGCCCAAGTCCTCTTTTGCTAAAAATGAGTCCCCAGCTGGACTCTTTGAACTGTCAAGTATCCTTTCTGTATTCATGCAGTCAGAAATATCAGGATATTTCCATTGAGGCTCTTTAAGTAAAGGATATTTTTGTACCACTCTGAGATCTGGTGAATATTTTCTTAGATCATTTTCTGATTCCTTGTCTAAACAGAAGCCAGCCTCATTGGAATTTTCACTGTATGTAGGCAAATAGTCTAATTCTGTCAACATAGATTTATCCTTCCGAGATGTAGAAAGCATGTTATCAGGGAGCTCAGAAATCTTCACTGTGTTTTTGGTGACGGTACAGGGCTCCAGACAAACTACTGGCATCTTTCCAGCGTCTAATTTGAACGTTTTAGCTTTAGCAACACCTGATGGGCTATTTGGTAGACATTTAGAAGACAGATGGTCAACTTCTAGGTTATCAACTTTATTGTGCCTCTTTAGCTGTTTCTCTAGTATAGGATCATCATCACTGTTTGAGTATACATCTGTTTCCTCATCCGTCTCTTCTTGCTTCACAGTGACCCCTTCTGTAAACTCACCAAGGTCATAGTCGTAATCATCTAGAGGTTCCTCTTTAATGACAACATTGAAGTTTCCATTTGGATCTACTGGTGATGCTACATGGGTACTATCTTCAAAATTGTTGGCAACATGTCTGGAGAGACAGGAAAGGGAGGGTTGAAAAGGACATAAGACCTCCATAAATAAAACTCAGGAGAGAAAAGGTTTTTGAAAAACAAGTAACAGCAGATTTCGTAAGAGAAACACTTTGTAGAGTATAAGGATCGCAAAAGCACTTTATCAGCATCACACTTTTATATTTTCTGTCAATTTTTCACAGAAGCAGCTACACTAATAAAAGAGAAAGATGCAAATTGACCGTACCTTCACATCACCCACCGGCCAATCAGGAGTGAGTATGCAAATTAACCAAACAAAGATGTTGGGTTAATTTGCATACGCAGGTGCTGAGTGGCCAGGGTGGGACACTTACATTACAGACTGCCCTAGCCACTCCAGGCCTCTGGGCACCATGGGAAGGTGGAAAGACAATTCCAGGCCAGAGTTAAGGTTGTGCCGGCAGCCAGGGAAAGGAAGGCCCATTCTTGCACGAATCTTCATGCATCTGGCCTCTAGTCCTGTATAATAAAAGGGTAATATGCGCCGAAACCAGTTTGGCTCAGTGGTAGAGCGTCGGTCTGTGGACTGAAAGGTCCCGGGTTCGATTCCAATCAAGGGCATGTACCTTGGTTGCTGGCACATCCCTGGTAGGGGGTGTGCAAGAGGCAGCTGGTTGATGTTTCTCTCTCGACATTTCTCTCTCATCGACGTTTCTAGCTCTCTCTCTCCCTTCCTCTCTGTAAAAAAATCAACTTTATATATATATATATATATATATATACACACACACACACACACACACACACACACACACACACATATATACATATATAAAATAAATTGATTTAAAAAAGGGTAATATGCAAACTGACTGAACAGTGGAACGACCAGTCACATGATGTGCACTGACCACCAGGGGGCAAATGCTCAATGTAGGAGCTGCCCCCTGGTGGTCAACCCACAAGCTGGGCTGCTCAGCCACAAGCCGGGCTGGCAGTTGGCAAGCACAGCAGCCGTGACAGGAGCCAATCATCTCCATCGTAGCACTAAGGAGCAGCAAGCCAAGCAGTAAGAAACAGCAAGCAGGCAGGGGGTAAAGAGTGAGGGATCCCTAGACTAAGAGAGGGATACCCATTAAGGGCTCCCAAACTGCGAGGGTGCAGGCTAGGCTGAGAGACCCCTCCACCGCAGTGCATGAATTTTGTGCACCGGGCCTCTAGTATATATAATAGCTAAGTTTTGGTTTGTTTTGTTTTTTATATATATATGTGTGTGTGTATGTACACAAACACACACACACACACACACACACACACGCACGCACACATTTTTAAAAATTAATTCCAAAGAGAGAAAGAAAATGATGAAAAGAAAATCAACTGGCTTCCACCTGCACAGCCCCCACTGGGAATAAAGCCCCGAAAACCTGGCATAAAACCTGGGCACATGCCCCAAACAAGAATCAAACTGTGACCTCATGGTTAATGAGTAGATGCTCAACAACCAGCTGGGCATAAAGAGCAAAGGTTTAACAAATAACCCTCTTATCACTAAATCAAAGCGTTGTAACACTTGTTTTCCTAACTAGAGCCAGTGCACAACATTTGTGCAATAGGGGGAGCGGAGGTGCTCCCCCTCAGCCTGGCCTCCCTTTAGCAGTCCGGGAGCCCTCGGGGGATGTCCAACTAATGGTTAAACCCTGAGTCGGATACCTTAGTGCTGCTACGGAGGCGGGAGAGGCTCCGCCGTTTTGCTCACCAGCCTTCAACCCAGGTTATGTCTGAGCAGTGCTCCCCCTGTGGGGCGTGCACTGACCATCAGGGGCCAGATCCTGCATTGAGCATCTGCTCCCTGGTGTCACTGCACGTCCTACCAACCAGTTATTCTGCCGTTCAATCAATTTGCATATTACCTTTTTATTACATAGGATAGTATTTTTCAGATACACTCAATTTTGAAAGTCAACTGGCACTGAACCAAACTCAAACTCAAGAGAACTTCAGTGATTAACAATCCTATATAATAAAGAAGGAATATGCAAATTGACCATCACTCTGCCACAAGCATGGCTGCACCCACAGTGGAGGCCAAGTTCCTGTAATGAGCCTTAACAAGCAATCAGCAAGAACCTAAGACTGGTGCCCCCCCTGCCCCTGTGGGACGTAACAGAAGACCTCAGACCCTCAGACTGCGCCCGCCACCTTGGCCCCAGGCCTGGGACCTCAGGCTGCGTCTCCCCCCTCTACCTCCTCCCAGCCCACCCTAGCACCAGGCCAGTGGAATTTAGGCCACATCCCGCCAAGCAGGGCTTGACAGGGGACCTCGGGCCATGCCCCCCGTCTGAAGGGGCTTGCTGGGGGACTTCAAGGTGTGCCCTCCCCCGCCCCAGGGCTAGGACGGGGAACCTCAGGCCGAATCCCCCCCACCCGGCAGGGCTTAACGGGAGACCTGAGGCTGCGCCCCCCCTACCAGCACTGAGCCAGGGGACTTGAGGCTGCGCCCCCTGCCCAGCGGGGCTTGACAAGGATGGGACTGGCTGGGTCTGAATCTAGCCCAATGGGAAGGATGGTGAAGAGGAAGGCCAGCCAGGTCTGGGTCTTGCGCGATTTTGAGGTGTACATGGTTGGGCAGGGACTTGACTCTGTGTCCTGTGGTGTACCCAAACTCTGACAGGAAGATGAATTTCACATACATTTTATTAATTTTCTTTCATCTCTGACACTTCTATTATAGAGAAAGGGCAAATAGCAATATTAAAATATTTCCTCTAACCCCCTTTTAATGTGCAAGAATTTCATGCACTGGCCACTAGTTGCCAATAAAAACAAATAAAAGTCAACTGCAATTAAGAATTGCACTAATATTAGGAAGGGCTTTACAGACTGCCTGATTGATTTTCCTTTTTTAAAAATTAAGACAAGATTCAGGGAGAGAATCCAAGATGGCTGCACAGGTAAATACCAAGCCACAGCCGCACACAACAATTTCAATAAAATACAACTAAAATATAAAATGGACATTACCCAGAACTACAGGAAAGTCGACTGACTGGAAATTCTACAACGAGAAGCAAGGAGAAAACCAGAAGGAAGAGCGGAGGAGCTGTAAAAGCCTGAGGTATGGAGACACGCGGCGCACACGGAGAGGAGGGGCGGCTGAGTGCCTGGCTGGTGTCCCTAGCGGGAAGGAGAGAAAAGCTCCGACTGTGCTGGGCCCCAGTTCCGACTGCCCTGAACCCCAGTTCTAGGCCAGACCCCAGGGACCGAGGCTCATCCATAGGGAGCTGGGCTGTAAGGCAGAACCCCGGGGGAGCGGCGAAAGGAGGTCCCAGAGGCGCGCACATTGCATGCAGAGAAGGGACGGTTGGCTGTGCCTCAGGATTGCCCTGGCGGGAAGGAGACTGGGGCTCCAGACTGCTCTGAATGCCACCTCCAATCCCACTTCCAACTGAACTGAACCTCAGTTCCGGGCTCATTGGGGGAGAGCCTAGACTGTTTGGTAGCAGGCGAAAATCGAGGGCACCTTTCTCTCAGAGGAGCTTGGAGCAAGTACTGAAGGACCCTGAGACTCAGGAGCCACATAAGGCGGAGCTGACGGAAGCCAAGGCTGTAGGCTCCACCCTGAAACTCCGCCCCAATAGGGAAGCTGCAAAAATGCGACAACGAAATAGATCACAAACGAAAGAAATGGAGGACTAAAAGCGACTGGATATAGAGTTCAAATCTACGCTTATAAGGTTTTTCAAGAATTTCCTAGAAAAGGTCGATAAGACCTATGAGGATATGAAAAGGGATCAACTAGAATTAATAAGGAATCAACAAGAAATGATAAGGGATCAACAAGAAATAAAGAATACATTGACTGAAATAAAAAATATTATACAGTGTCCTAAAAACAGAAGGAAAGATCGCAAGAATCAAGTCAAAGATTTGGAACATAAAGAGCCAGAAGACACGCCTCCACAGAAGCAAGAAGACAAGAGAATCCAGAAAATTGAAGATAATGTAAGGAACCTCTGGGACAACTTCAAGCGAACCAACATCAGAATTATGGGGGTCCCAGAAGATGAGAGAGAGCAAGATATTGAAAACATACTGAAAGAAATAGTGACAGAAAACTTCCCCCACCTGGTGAAAGAATTAGACTTACAAGTCCAGGAAGCGCACAGAACTCCAAACAAAAGAAATCCAAAGAAGACCACACCAAGACAAATCATAATTAAAATTCCAAGAGCAAAAGACAAAGAGAGAATATTAAAAGCAGCAAGAGCAAAGCAGGTAGTTACCTATAAAGGAGCACCTATACGATTGTCAGTTGATTACTCAACAGAAATCATGCAGGCCAGACAGGAATGGCAAGAAATATTCAAGTGATGAATAGCAAGAACCTACAGCCAAAGATAATCTACCCAGCAAAGCTATCACTCAGAATCGAAGGCCAGATAAAGAGCTTCACTAATAAAAAAAAAAGCTAAAGGAGTTCATCACCACCAAACCAGAATTATATGAATTGCTGAAGGGGGTTCTTTCGGAAGAGAAAGTAAATAAAGATAAAAATTATGAACAACAAATACGTATCAACAAGTGAATGTAAAAACCAAGGAAATTAAAAAAAAAAAATCTGATGAACAATATTAACTGTTGAATATAATAGAATCGGAGGTATGGAAGGGGAGTGTACTGACGATTCTTGGGGAAAAGGGGAGAGGAGGATGTGGGAAGAGACTGAACATAAACTGTGCACCTATGGATGAGGACAATGGGGGGTGGGGAAAGGGCAGAGAGTGGGATGGGAATCTGGTGGAGGAGAGCAATGGGGGGGGGGGGGAACATTTGTAATAATATGAACAATAAAAATTTATTTAAAAAAAAATTTTAAGGCAAAATCCTGCCAAAACCAGTTTGGCTCAGTGGATAGAGCATCAGCCTGCAGACTGAAACGTCCTGGGTTTGATTCTGGTCAAGGGCATGTACCTTGGTTGCAGGCACATCCCCTGTAGGGGGTGTGCAGGAGGCAGCTGATTGATGCTTCTCT